TGGTATTTTTGCCTAGTTCAAGAACGAGCACCGCAATTCGTTCAGAAAACACCTCATAATAGGTTATCCTCGATCTCAGATGTGGGGCTATAACAAAGCCAACTCCACCGATTCTTCCGCTGTTCGATCCTGCTCCTAGGACAATTTCATGGTCTGTATGCCACTTCCATGTTCCTGCCTGATGCCTCAGCGTTTCCTTGTACACATGTCACATCCACAGCACAATCTAACTCTGATATCAATTGGTCTATTCTGGCATCGCTGGTAAGTCCACGAGTGTTGATTGTAGCAATATTTAGGAAACAATTGGACAGATCGCTTTCCGTGAGATTTCTCCCCCTCTGCCGTTGTCCTCTCTGCCAGGAAGGACGGTGGCTGCACGGGACTGAGGGTACATTTTCTTCGACTTCACTCATAGATGCTGATGGCCTGGACATCCCCCACCGCCTAGCCAAAACTGGCGGTAATCCACTGCCGGAAGTGGACCTGTCCAAGAGGGGCCCGTTTTTAGCCTCACTCGACACGTCGTTGCTCCGGCGACAACGAGTGATCTTTTCATCGAGTGAGTTTACACCATCCCACCACTTTGAGGTAACGGGGCTAGGGATGGACATACAGACATACATACATACAAACCGACACACCAACTAAGCGCTTTATAAAATAGAAGGGTATCTCCACTGAGAGAAACGATACAAGAAAATAAACAGATGTTTTTTGTCAGGAGGCACCACACGATGTACAACGGTTTCTGGAAGATATGGGTGCGAGAAATTCATGTTCGTACTGAGCATGGTGCGCAAGCAAATTGCTTGGTGATGATGTTGAAGCGGCAGTGTATGCCGCGAGAGAAGTCGGCTAAGATGCTGGAGATGCTCCGATGCGTCAGCAATCCCAATGTCCCTGATGTCACTCGAGCGGAGAGCCGCTGGCACTTGGTTAAAGTGACATCAGGGTTGCTAACACAGTATCAACTTGAGCCCCCTTTCGCTTATTTAGTAGTAGTGATTAGAGGAATGTTAATCACAGGGTATCCCATAAATATTGCACCACATTTATTCACTTGTAACTTTTTTTTCAAAATAGATGTATCTTCAAAAGGCTCTAAAAAAGTTTTAGCAATACATTTACATATAGAAAGGAATGACATTCATTTGATATGCTTCATATGTGGAACAACATGGTTTTTGGAGAGGGAAGTCCAGGGAAACGGCGCTGCTTGTATCACTAAATGATTGGACAAAAGCGATTGAGCTTAAACAGCAGGTTCATGTCATCTACTTTGATTTCAAGAAGGCTTTTGACAAAGTGCCCATTCAGAAACTTGTCGGCAAACTTCGGGCGGTTGGTATCCACCCCAGAGTTGTTCAGTGGATCCAGCATTTTCTGACAGCACGTCGTTACCGAGTTCGGGTCGGTAACGATTTCTCCTCGGTTTTCCAGACTCAGAGTGGTGTCCCACAGGGTGGGGTACTTTCCCCTTTGCTTTTCCTTGTATATACGCCACTACAAATTGATAACTTCTAAGGCAAACCACAGAATCTATAACCTATTCAAAGCTCTTCGTTCAAGAGACTCGCACACCTTACTACGAGCATATAAGACGTATGTTCGCCCAATACTTGAAAGTGGCGCTGTTGTGTTTTCTCCATACAAGAAGAAAGACATCGCTCTTTTTGAAAGTGTTCAAAATAATTTCACTCGGAAACTCATTATGCGTTGCAGTGGTGTCAATTACCAATTCATTCCTAACGGCACTGACAGAAGAAAACTGCTAGGACTAGATAGTTTATCATCAAGGCGTGTGTTAGCGATATGGTAATGATTTTCAAAATTCTGACTGGAAGAACTAACCTCAGTGTGTCAAAACGCAGTGTGCTATAGAATACTAAAAATTAGAAATAAAAAGCAGAACAGTGCTGTAAATGAAACTGAGCAAAACAAAGCTAATTAATACTGCAAGAACGTACCAAGATACCCCTGAAAGAACAATTGTAGGAAGTAAAGGTAGGAGCTGAAAATAAACTAATCTCTAGGCATAAGCCTTTTGAAACTAGCCAATGATAGCTTTAGTACGTCTTTGCATAGCAACTTGTTGAAACTAGGAATGGATCTTATGGCGAAGCTTTTGAACCTGACCTGAGACTTAGTAACCGCTTTTTTGATGTAGTCAGATCAAGCACCAGGAGGGGTAATTGTCAATTAAGGATGCCGGTTACTAAGTCTCAGGTCAGGTTCAAAAGCTTCGCCATAAGATCCATTCCTAGTTTCAACAAGTTGCTATGCAAAGACGTACTAAAGCTATCATTGGCTAGTTTCAAAAGGCTTATGCCTAGAGATTAGTTTATTTTCAGCTCCTACCTTTACATCCTACAATTGTTCTTTCAGGGGTATCTTGGTACGTTCTTGCAGTATTAATTAGCTTTGTTTTGCTCAGTTTCATTTACAGCACTGTTCTGCTTTTTATTTCTAATTTTAGTATTCTATAGCACACTGCGTTTTTGTATCCTTGGATTTTGACTGTTACAAGTTCCATTGATTTTGTTGAATTTTCTCACGTGGCCATTGCTCACGTCTTCAATAAATAAATAAATAAAAATGCTTCCTTGTTGCTGTGAGTATGGCTCCCAATTGCTTCGAACGCAACTCTACTGTGGCCCGCATGGCATCCTGGGGTGTTCTCTTCGAAACTTTGCAGAGAAAAGGCTCCGGCTCATCCATGTGGATGCAATGTTTAGTGCAGGCTCTGCCCTCTAACATAGCCCACATAGGATGGTCCAGCACGCTGAAATCAAGGGATAGGAGAGCCATTCGTTTGAGGATGTGAAATCGGAAAGAGTGCCCTAACAGCGCTCCTAAACTCCTATGCAGAAGCTGGGCCCTATTGAAAAGATCATCACCCCTCCTCAAAGTGGCTAGATACCTCAGTAACAGGTGGTGCACCGAAATGTCCCTTGGCTCGGTCCATTATAAACTTGTGTTCCTCTTTAAACAGGCAATGATGGTGAGTGACTGGTAGTTACGACCAGGGTCAACCCTGCGTTGCGCAAATTCCAAAATTTTTACGACCCCCTTCCTTTTCGGAGGGTATCGGTACGACCCCCCCCGTATTAACTATTATGTCTTTCACATAATTTAATGCTCATCATTGATGTGTGGGCAGTCACCAACATGGAGAAGTGGTGGACCGTGGTCAATCCGCGCGCTTCTGTCTCGCTCAGAGGAGGGAATCGAGGCAACATGAAGTTTTATTCATTAAATAGAAGGAATTTCCAAATTTTTGCGTAAACCAAGTATTTGTATGTCAGTAATCGCAGCGACTTTTACCCCCAAAAACCTACCAAGTTTTTTCGAACTTCCAAGATCACCCTTTTATAAACTCAAGAACTAAACCTTGCAGCAATTACGTTACGATACAGACCTCTTCATTTGAGGAATCGTATCTTTCTTTGAAAGCGGTTTCATGAGATGGGATACAAAATTTGAAAACTACAAATAGTTTTCTTTCCAAAAAGTTTTGAAATGTTGCAAATGTTCAATTTTCAAAAAATCGTCCCGTTGTTCCGTTTTTTGTGCACACGCGAGTTTTCGACATTCAAACATTCATAACTTTCTTCATAATCAACTTTTTGCAGATGTCTAAGGCTAATTAGAAACTAGAAGATTAGCGCTTTCAAACAAGCACCTGACTTTTTCCAGCGATCACTCTCTCAAAAAATAGTCCCGTTGTTCCGTTTTTGGGGGGTTTGTGGTCCGATTTTTGAGAAGGCGCGAGTTTTCGACATTCAAACGTTCATAACTTTCTTCATAATCAACTTTTTGCAGATGTCTAAGGCTAATTAGAAACTAGAAGATTAGAGCTTTCGAATAAGTGCTGAAACTTTTCGAAAATCACTCTTTCAAAAAATAGTCCCGTTGTTCCGTTTTTTTCGCCTTTATTTTTTCATGTCATTTTGGCTACTCAGAATGCCACAGGGCCACTCAGAAAAAATGGAGCCTAGTTTTGTACTCCATGCATGTGCCCCTTTATCATGCAAAAAACCATTTTCAAAAAGGGCTCCATGTCCTGAAATACTTTCTTGGGTAGAGCCTGTGGAAGAGTGCACAAATCAATTGGATATAGTTTTTTTCACTTCAAACTTGAATATTATTCATCGCTATTCAGTGCAGGGAAGTATTAGCAGCTGCGCTTTCCACATGTCGGGCCGCCAGTGAGCATTTCTGTTAAGCTTCTTGGAAGAGACCTCGAAAATTTACCTCATCTCGGTGTTGTGTGCTCGTGCACCTGCACGCGAAAAACAGATTCTTAAAAGAGGATTCCAGATAAGAACGAAGCTCAAAGAAAGGGAAAACTGCCTAGGGAGACAGGCGAACCCCTGAGGGTGCGGTTTGACACGCAATTGGCAGCGAAAACTTTACCTCGGCGATCTAGCATGGCTCACTCTTGGCGCAGTTGGCACAATGATTCAACGGGCAAGGAAGGGGTCCCATTTCTCGGGTTCTGGGCCGTTTCTCATGGTTCTTCCTTCTTTCGTGTACCACTCACCATCCCTAGGTTAATTTGAAATGGGTTGCTTTTTCATCGTAAATTCGTGCCTTTAAAAGACCATTTCATTCTATGAACCGCCACACTGGAGACCACTGTTATGGGTCGGTTCGCAAAAATTGCTCCTTGCAATACGAAACGATGGTGTTTGTTCAACAACTGTGCAGACAAAGAAAAAGATCCGTTCAATATCTTGTTGTTAGTGTTTACCGGTATCAGATCATTTTGGCTGCACTCTGGAAACGATCCGATAACTCTTGCAAAATTTCATCTTGAGCTCAGAACTGCTTCCCTATCTGCTAAACGGTTCTCTGAACGGACTTATAAAGCAAGAAAGCGCAGCGGTAGTGCCCCGGTCTCGCAGGCAAGAGGTGGTGGGAACGGTTTTCTCGAGGGCCTGCTTTTTGTTTTTCAATGTCAATGTGGCAGAAAAGCTTCTAAATTCGTTATTTATCAAAGTTTACCATTAATTGCTAGGATGAATAGTATGAAGAGTTTGCGAGCAGTTCCCACAACCTCTTGCCTGCGAGACAGGGCACTACCGCTGCGCTTCCTTGCTTTATAACTCCGTTCGAAAAAATCGGGAAGGCAGTTTTGAGCCCAGCGTCTCGTCGCCAGTGAAAGGGTGTAGAGCTTACTACAAATGGCCTGATTGTCCTTTTGACTTCCCTGGTCAGATGCGTGACGCATCCTGCTACAATTATTTACGCACCATGTTGAACTACAGCACCACTTTATTAAAGCCACGAGTCAGGATTAGGTGACCATAGAAGGCCTTTCCATCACTAATATTTCCAGGAATGCGCTCAGAGGGGTGATGCCACACTCCTGACTCGAGATTGCGCGCCGTCAAGGCCTCTGGCTACTA